GAGAGAGAGAGAGAGAGAGAGAGAGAGAGAGAGAGAGAGAGAGAGAGAGAGAGAGAGAGAGAGAGAGAGAGAGAGGATTGTAGGATGATGGTAAATCACCGCACTGTCCGTGTCTCATCATGGGCAGTGCACGCAGTCATGTCAACAGCAACTGCTTTTTTTTGTTATTTTCAAAATTTCAACGAGCTGAATAATCTGTAGATTGAAGATTCTGTACAGCTTGAGCCTTGTGGTTCCAGCCGCTGAGGCCACATGACCAGCAAAGTCGACTTCACTGCAGCAGCCAGCTTTTCTTGGAAGTCCACTCCTCTCACCGCAGCCGCAGGTGAGTGACGGTCGGCACAGCCGACATCTTTTGTCGGTCCTGTCACGCTTTCACCATTTCGTAAGCCCGAATAGCACCTGTCCTATTGAGCCTGCACAAAAAAAAAAAGAAGAAGAAAAGAAAGAAAAGAAAAAAAGAAAGGAAAGCCAATGCTTCTTATCCAAGTAGAAAAAATTCTGGAAATCTGAAATCACGACATGTCCATTCAAATTTTGGAATCATGCAAACATATACTCATACACATTGATGGCCCATCATGAATGTAGAGGGCATAAAAAAGCTGAACTGCTGAAGAGATTCACTATATTCAAGATTTGGGGTTTCAGATTGCAGAGATGATCTGTGCCGAAGCAACGATTTTGTGGCGAAGCAATAAATATACATCATCCATGCGCATACACATTATTGATTGATTGATCGATTGATTGATCGATTGATTGATTGATTGATTGATTGATTGATTGATTGATCGATCGATCGATTGATTGATTGATTGATTGATTGATTGATCGATTGATTGATTGATTGATTGATTGATGGATGGATGGATGGATAAATGGATGGGTTGATGATATGGATTGATTGTGATGATGATGATGATGATGATGATGATGACAGCTCATACCCATGGGTTGGACTATTGAGGGCAGTGGTTGGTGGTCCCCACCACCTGAGGGTGTCATTTGTCGGGCTGTCGTTGATGCTTAACCACAACCGACCGGGGTTAAGGTGGATTATCACTTAGTGTAATCAGTCAGTTAGGGAATTCTGCTGCAGACTGTTTTTGAGGGTTCAGCCTCCTGCTGCTTGATGAGTCGGTAGGTGAAACTCCGGCGAAACAGTTTGTCCTCTTCTCCCTCGTTTGTTGTCCTCTTCTCCCTCTTGTCCCTCTCTGCCTATGGTTTACCAGGCATCTCTGTTTGACTATATATATAATATTAATTACAATATATAATTATATTATATATAAGATGTAATATACTAATATGTATAGTATTATATGCACATATTCCGAATCCATTCTAGTAGAAGCTTGGCTCTTTTTTTTTTTTTTTTTTTGGTCCAAACCCCCCCACCGGTGTTACACAATTGTCCGGAAGAAAAAGGACGTACTACTGGAGGAGAGAGGAAGACAAGAAGGTTCCGGGAAGGTACACAGTCATCAGAAACTATAACCCAGCCCAGCGGCCCCAGCCTATGTGGCTGAAAACACAGTCAGAAAACACACATGGGAATGTAATTATTGACAAATAGACTACGGTAGGCTACCAGAGTGACCCGGGTCTACTTGCCCGGCCGGGCCAAAAAGATATAGAAAATAGAAAAATAAAAATTATTTTTTAATTCAAATTTGTATTTCAAATGTGGTAGAGAATTTCGATGTGACCCTGAGGCAAAA